ACTGCCGTTGTTGAGCGCTATTTAGAAAGGAGAATGCTAGTGATTTAATCTCTTCGATATTAACGCTAGTGTCAAATTTACTGGCGTAAAATATTTTTCATTTTATATCCGTTTGGAACTTGAACTACCCGGCTAAACGCGTGAACTTTGCAGAATATTGTGGCGGAACGAAATAGCTTGCAGTCAATGCTGGACGTAGTGAAAGAGCAACTTGCTGAAAGGTATGAGTCCTTTTTTATCTAATTTCATATTACCTCTTTTTTCATTTCCTTTTTTTAGATGTATTCTTTCATTACTTTGTTATCTTTTTCACTGACAACATTCTTGCAAAATATTGATGCCCTGGGATTCTTCATCTTCCTCTTCGTATGCTTGGAGACACCACTGATTTACATATGTTTTGATAAAATGCAGTTATTTATTTTCTTGTTTTTGTGGCTGATAGTGCTTATCTGCAAGTGCTGATTTGTTTGTACTTTGAAACTAAAAAAATTTTATCGTGTAAGAATTACAGTAAATTAGAAATGCTTTAGTGTGGCAACGGTTGAGAGCTTGCGAGCACAAATCGGATCGTTGGAGCAGCAAGCAAATGAGCAGGCCAACACTATGGCGCAACAGAAACTGGCCTTTCAGAAGGAGCTGCATTGTTTCCAGGAACAGATGAACGATCTGAACATTCTCAAGGCGAAAGCTGATTCACGTGTGAGTGAGATCGAAGCGAACTGCGCCAAAATACTTGCTGAAAAAACAGCGGTAAGTGAAGGAGATTCACTCTCTCAAGTAGATGCTTGGTAATGAGTTAATTTACTAATAGAATTAATAGTTTTCCCAACAAATTTGTAATTTTTTTTTTCGTTTATTGCAAAAAAGGATCATTTTCGGCGAGTGCTGTGATTAGCCAGTAAAGTGTGACAGATTAGCTGGTATTTGTGTAGTTAAGTGGTTAAGTTGTAGACAGTTGAATATTCTTTTTGAACACTTTTTTTATGCGTTTTGTGCTGTGTAACAGCAGTACCAAAACATATTGTCACGGGGTTGTCTGAGTGTGTGTGTGTGTGTGTGTGTCCGCAGCACTTGTCCGCAACTTTCAACCCGGGAACCACAAAAGCTAGGAAGCTGAAAATTTAGGGTAACGTTC